TCATGCCTGGAATTGACATATAGTCCATGTGTGGGTTTTCCTTTCCTGACTGTAGGATTCACTTTCCACGGACTTAGAGTGCATCTGAGCCAGTGACACGAGAGCCCACAGAATATTGCATCAGATCAAAGGACACACTTTAAGAACTAAGGTGGTGTGGAAGTGGGCATATGAGCATGGATTCTCTACTCCAATTGCATACGAAACCACCCAGAAGCTATTGGCCTTCCTAATAAAATAACAGAGTATCTCTTTGAAGTTAGCCCTGAGGGGCCAGCTTGGAGAGGATATCCTGTGAATATGGGTTACTGGTCCTCCGGGATGCAATTCACACCCCAAATCAATAACCGTTATGTGATGCTATGTTTCTAAGAGGCAGAATTCAAGGTTATAGGGACCAAAGAGCGGAAGTAGAAGTGGCCCCACTTACCATTACTGCCAGTGACTCACTTGGAGAATCTTGCTTCCAGTAGCAGCAACTAACTCTCTGAGATCTAGAAGTCTGTTCCTGGAAGGGAAACGCTTCCACCAGGGACACAGTAAGAGCCTTTGTACACCGCATGTGCCACTCAGTCACTTCTGGATTCTTTGTGCCGAGGAAAGGAGTCACCACTCTGGCATGGGTAGTTGCTCCCAATCACAGGAGGAGGCGGACTACAGATAAAACATCATCAAGGCTAAATGGAAAATTTGACAAACGTCATTTAATTAACAACCTTGATCTTACGAGAGAATCCCATATTCGTCAGAGAATGCACGTTCTTTTCTAGCGCACCCAGGATATCCATAAGAATTAGTGATATGTGAGATCAAAAGAAATCTATTAGACCAATACCAAAGAGTTGATAGAGAGTATATGCATCCAAACATTTCTGATCATGGAGCTTCATTGTCACAGTTTGGGTTCCCTGGGAAGCAGACTCTGAGATGGAGATTAAGGAGTGCTCTTGGGATTAACACCTGTGAAGGAGAGAGGAGGAAGTGGGAATGAGCAGAGGGAGAGGTTGCATTTCAATGCAGTAGCAATGAAGACCCCAGGCCAATATCACTGGGAGCTCTAGAGCTGTCTGTCAGCCCTTCAGAGTTGGGGCAAGAGGACCAGGCACTTATACTCCTGCACTGAGCAGTCATTGGATGCAAGCTCCATTTGGAAGAAGATGCGACTTTAAGCAAGGCAATCCCCGAAGAGGGCCATTTTTCTGGCAGCACTGTTAGCAGCTAGGAAAATAAATCTCTCATTCCTAAAGGAGGATCTGGGTAAAGGATCACATAAATTTTAGTATACATCTCTAATATGTAGGATGTTTATAAATTGTATAGTTTCACTATTATATTGATATATATGCACATTATAAAACACAATAAAATAGAGATTTATAAATGGGGGCACCTGGGTGGCTTGGTTGGTTAGGCATCTGACTCTTGATTTCAGCTCAGGTCTTGACCTCAGGGTCATGAGTTCAAATCCCACATTGGGCTTCACACTGGGCGTGGGCCTACTTAAAAAAAAAAAAAGAAAGAAAAGAAATTTTTAAATGATGAGATGATGAAATAAATAATGTTAAAACATTTTGCTAATAGGTGATGGTTTTGTCCTATTATTAACTAATATAAGACACAATACACACTTAGGGCAAGCTTCATCATGAATGGTGGATTATAAATCAATATTCCTAATAATCTTCTTGATAATTTCAAAGCTTTTTGGTCAACTTCTTGCTGGATCTGACTAAATAATTCTACCTTGTAATGCGCCTGACAAAAAGCTGGTATCAGACCTACCAGTTCTGCAATTTTCTTGTTGTTTACCTTTGTTTGTATTATTTGCATTATCTTCAATTGTGTTTTCTTTCAAGGAGTCTTTTGTGAGGGTTAATTTAGTTAGATTAAATAATTAAGTCTAAATATCCACTTATCCCAGCATACGTAATCTGCAATATTTCTCAACATGCTGACAGCAAACGAAAGAGGGAGGAAGCCTCTCTGTATGTTGGAATTTGCCCTCTCCCTGCAGGATACATCATTCCTGACGTATGCCTGTCTGAGATGCAACCTGGTGAGGCCAACAGTGTCCATATATACGTGAAATATTAATAAAGATTAATTTCTGATTTTATAGACAAAGATAAGTAGCAATCATTTCTAATATTTTCTGCCTGTACCTCTATGAATCATCTTTTACACTTCTTTGGGTAAAGGCACCCCATTTTGGAGATCTCTGATCTACTGAGCAGAAAGTTCCTGTACTTCAGATTTATCACCATCCTTCTGGTCAGTGCTGAGAGATATTATTTGTTTAATTCAAGATGTCTTTTCTTGAATTATTCTTCTTTTCCTTCATGCCATTGTTGACCACCTTTCCTTCCCATAATGCAAACTTTCTTTGGGCGTTTTTGTATCTCATTAAGTAGGAGTCATCTGAGGTTCAAATAGGACTGTGAGACTAATTCCTACTAAATATTGATTTAAAGCCCTATTCTCGGGTTCTTATTTGGCATCTCCATGAACTGCCTACAACAATTCTACATGAAACATAACATAAAAATTTATGAGCAATTCAATATCAAGTTGAAAATCACATCACACTGGCAAATTTTTTTTCTTGAAATAAGAAATCCTGTTTAATGAGACTGGATTCTTGAGCCTGCCTGTGCATCAGAATTACCTGTGGCACTGAGAAAAACACAAACAAACAAAAACAAAAACCCACTGATTCCTGGGCCCTACCTGTGATAATTAAAGACCTACAATAACACTGGCTTACTTACACATGATAGGAATTGATTTCTCTCTCACATAAGTGGCTGTTGGAAGGCAGAGTGGCAACTCTGCTCCAGGAGGTCTTTGGGGGACCAAGCTCTTTACGGCCCTCCATTCTGCTATCCCTAAGGCATTACCTTTGTCCTCATGGCCCAGGATAGTGGTTGGACTCCAGCTGTCACATCTGTGTTCCAGGCAGCAAAATGGAAGAAGGGATAAAAAAGAAATGGGCAAAGGAAGCACGTCAGATGACTTCTAAGGGAGGTTCCCCAAAGCTGCCATGTGATGCTTCTATATACATCCCATTGTCTAGATCTCAGTCACATGTTCACAACTGGATGCAAGAGAAGCTGACAAATATATTGTGTATTTTGAGCAGCCTAATGCTCAGCTAAAAAATTTTGAGAAATGTATTACTACAGAAGAAGAAAAACATTGGGGGACAGCCAACAGTCTCTGCCAAAATGTACAAATTAACAACTGTCTAGGCCTTGGCAGATTCCGGGAATCCAAGTGCAGTGATGGTTTGGTTGGAGAAGGTTTTGCCCTACCTACCCTAAGGATTTCACATTATGGCTAGAATTAGCAACTGTTTCCTCTTAGAGAAGGTGGAATAACTGTAACCATAGTGAAAGAGATAGATTGCATCAGCTCTGCTCTTGTCACCTTATCAGATGCATTCAGGCACTCATTCTGCTAGGCTATTTTAAGTTTGGTGAAAGAGAATAAATAAATATTACAATTGAAATGTCCTGGAACACTTTAGACAAGAATTAAAAAGCCCTGTTCATCTCTTATGTTCCTCTTTGTCAGAATGCTAAAAAAAAAAAAAAAGTACTAAGATGAACAGACAAGATGAAATCTTTGTAAAATTTTGGTCTCATTAGAGACACCAATCCAAAGGGAAACTTTCCTTTTGTCAGCTAACTTTTGGTTATAAAGATACTTATAGCAATAAACAAGAAAGAGTTTTTGACTTGAAAACAATACCGGGTGTTGCACAACTCTAGGGGGTGCTATTCACATTATTTTTATGTGAATGCCCACCTCTTGGAACACAGTATGAGTGGTGTCCTTCAGAGTTGTATAATGCTGCTGTCCTACCAGGAAGCAGTGCAATTTGTTTGTTAATCTCAAAATTATAAGCTGGCAAGATGAGCAGATGGCACTGATCATCTCAAGAATAGTCGAAGACTATTCTGTTCTTGCGGAAGGCTGTTTGTAGTCCAGAGAACTTCTTTTCTATTATTCTCATCAATGGCCACCAAGAAGGGTCAGCCAATCTAGTAAGCCTACAATATTTCTGATTTTTAGGTGTCTAAAGACAAATGTAAGACCCAAGAAATTTCAGGTTCCTAACTGCTGTGGGGTATGATTTGCATACACAATTCTGAAACATCATTAATCAGGGGAGTTTAGGATCCCACACTTTATCACTCTCATGCACACCTGTTCTTGCTGGAAGTGAATAAGTAGATAGCAACCACAGCTGCACGGTGGCTTTACTGATTTAAGGAACATCGTTAGTCTCATCTATAAAGCTGGAGAATTACGGCAAAGCTTCAAGAGTGCTTCTAATATATAGTTCTCGTCAGAGTCGATTACCATTAGAACACATTTTTAAAATGTCATTCTGAGGCTGTTTTTTTTTTCAAAAAAAAGACAGGCAGTTTTAAAGTTATCAATAACAACAACAAAAGAAGCCTTTGAAGCAAGTACATTTTCAAGGATGAAATAGAATATCCTGGAGAGATTTCATCATATTATCCACTGTTGTATGTAGGACCCAAGAAATTTAAATTAGTTTTGCCTCTTTGATATAAAATGAGAATAAATGAACTCCTATTTCTTCTTCCCATATTATATAGAGAATATTAGTCCTTAAAACCTTTATTGGGTCACAGACACTTTTGAAAATATGACGTAAGACGTGGTACCTCTTCTAAGCAATATACTCATATACGTATACACAAACATCAGCATCAGATTTCAGGGAGTTTTGACTCACAAAATCTTATAGACACTCTAGTTTCAAAGGTCCAACCTAGAGGGTAGTGTAGGGTGAAAATGAGTTTTAAGAACTCAAAATAAAATCCACTCAGGGTCTAAAGAAGAAAAGGTGTGTAGGTGTGTGTGTGTGTGTGTGCACACGCAGGCGCATGCACAGCTCAGTCCTTCAACGTTCATTTGAAGATAAGTCAATTTGCAGACAAAGTTACCACTTCTCAAATTTTTTTTAATTTTCTTTAATTTAAAGGACCAATTTATATAAAATCCAGCAATACACAATTTAAAAATGATTCTAAATTAAACTACAATTCAAGGCACTCTCTAGAGTTTTTGTTTGTTTTTGTTTTTGATAATGGAAAACTTATACTATATTCATTCAAGATTCCTCTATCAGAACTTTTGCTAATTTTGCTTGGATTCACAGGTGAAAATACAGTGAAAATAGTTCATTTACATCACACTGGAGGACAAGTTGAGCCCATTTGTTTATTTACTTATTTATTGACAATTCTGAGTTATAATTCACATACCATACAATTCACCCATTTAAAATTACACAACTCAATGGTTTTTAGTAGATTCACGGAGTTATGTAACCATCACCACAATAATTTCAGAACATTTTCATCAACCCAAAAAGAAACCTGTCCTCATTAGGTCCCTCCCCATTCCCTAGCTCCTAATGATTCCAGCCTTAGGCATCCTCTGATCTGCTTTCTGTCTTTATAGATTTGCCTATTTTATTTCACATAAATGTCCATACAACATATGGCCTTTTGTGATTGGCGTCTTTGATTTAGCATAGTATTTTGAAGGCTCGTCATGTCATAGCATGTATCTATGCTTACTTTATTTCGTTCTATGGCCAAATATTCTACCCTATGACTATTCCACACTTTGTTTATCCATTCATCTGTTGATGGAGCTTTAGGTTGTTTCCAATTTGGGGCTATTATGAATAATACTGCTATAAACACTTGTGTACCAGTTTTTGTGTTGACCAGCCCCTCAACTTTTAACCCCACAAAAAAGTAAAAAGAGAAGAACTCTTATAACAAAACTATACAGAATCTGTTTTGCAGTAATTTCAGACTTTCCAAGATTCAACAATTTCCATACCCAGCATCACAGAGGCTCATCATGACAGAGAGACTGGCATCATGACTCTATCATAGAATCAGAGGAGGTTAGACATGTTTTCTAAGATAAGATCCCTTCCTACATGAAGTCAACAATTGCTACTTTCTGTTACTTCTCCATGCATAGAAAAGAATGATAGACATCACCTGGTCCCCAGGAAGTTATCAACAAACATTACTGAGCCCCTTGCAAGCAGCAAGCACGACTGTGCATATGTAACCGCTCTGTGGACAGAAGTCATACGCCAAGTATGAGCTGCCAAGCTTCTCTGAGTTCCCCATTCTAGTCTGAAGCACTTGACGCCCTCACTACTTCCCACCTGGGTTCTGCCTATAACATTAGCACTGTTATACCTTTGACACCCTGCCTTTCTTTCTGGTTACTCCTTCCGCCTCCTCGTGGGTGATGTTCCATACTCACAGAGACCCTCCCTGCTGACTCGACCCTGCCAACTATCTCCACTCCACCTCTGAGACTATGGCCTAAGCTTCATCACAGCTTTCCCCACTGAATTAATGCCCCTCTGGACTCTGGGTTTGCCAAGTGCTGGGCAAAATGCTCAGGAGGTGCACAGTGAATGTTTGTTGAGTAGAGGACCCATAAGATTTCCTATCAGGGCCGTGTGTGTGAGGTGGAAAGGGGTCAGAATGAATTTGTGGCTTAGTGGCATTTATCAGTGATTAATTGTTGACATCTCCAATGATCAAAGCACTTGGAAACCTCAACTTAATCCTGAGTCTCTCTCCTTAGCTATTACGGTATTAATACAAGTTTATTCACTGGGATCAAAATGATTTATCTGATAAAGACAGACTCAGAGGCATAGGAAGCACATTCCTAAAGATTTGACCCATTAGAATAATCAGACAGAAGACCCAAAGAGAAGGTTTAGCCGACCACTTATTTCTTCTGCTTTGTATTTCAGAGCAATCTTATTTTGGATCTTTGGATTTAATATCAATGAAATTCCATGAGGCATAACCTGGAAGGCTGAATCATAATCTACTGTTAGGGGGTCCTGCTAAGCTTTGCCATTCTTTCAGAGGAGGGTTGCCCAGGGAAGCCAATTTTTTCAGGTAGTCACAAGGCTCTAGTTGTGGAATATCAGGATTCTGCCTGTAATATTTTTGCAACTTCTCTAGCACTGTGGGCAACCCAACTGTGGAGGCGTAGAACATGGGCCCACCCCTGTGCCTTGGCCATCCATACCCGTGTAAATAGACAACGTCGATGTGCTCTGGAGTACCAGCCATCCCTTCTCCCAAGATACGGAATGCTTCATTGATGAGTGAATATAAGCAGCGCTCAAGGATCTCATCCTGGCTAATGATACGTGCCTCAATGTGATACGTTTCTCTGTACTGTGACAGAAATTCAGAAAGCCAGGGGTCAGGTTTGTGAATCCTACCCAATGGCTTATCATATTGGTACCAACCCTTACCTGTCTTCTGGCCAAATCGTCCTGATTCACAGAGCATATCAGGAATTGGGCAATATCTCCCATTGACTCGCTTTCGGGCAGGAGTTCCTAAAGGCAACATAGGTCCAGTAAGACCTTGCCCTTGTCGAGATTTCCAACCCACATCCAATCCAGCAAGATCTGACACTCTAAAAGGTCCCATTTTGAAACCAAACTCTTCCAGCACCTGATCAATCTCCTCTGGCTTACTGCCTTCTTCTAACAAGAAATACGTCTGATTGTAATAAGGCTTCAACATTCGATTGCCAACAAATCCAAAACAGTTACCTACAACTACTCCAATTTTTTTAATCTTTTTTGCTAAATTCATAACTGTGGCAATGGTAGTGGGGGAAGAGTACTGGCTGGGAATAATCTCTAACAACTTCATCACATGAGCTGGTGAGAAGAAGTGAGTGCCAATGACCAAGTGAGGGCGATGAGTGGAAGAAGCAATCTCATCAATGTCCAAGGCTGAAGTATTGGTGCACAGAAAAGCTTCTGGCTTGCACACAGCTGACAGTTCAGCAAAGACCTGCTTCTTCAGGTTAATTTCCTCAAATACTGCTTCAATGACTAAATCCACACCACCAAGCTCCTTCATAGATGCAGTTAACCTGGGTTTTGGTCCTAACCAAGGGTGGCTGTTATGCTGCATTTTGGATGCTTCCTTTTCCAGGAGGGAGGTTATTATCTTATCGGCAGTCTCTAGCTGCTTCTTGTCTGAGTCCATAGCAATCACGGGGATCTTGGCCTTCGCAAGAGAAATGACAATGCCCCGGCCCATTGTTCCCAAGCCTGCAGATAAGAGTGAAGAAGAAAAAGAATGATTCAATGATATTGGGAACTGAAACATTACTCAGTAAATGGGAGGCTTCTGTGGCAATAGGACAGTTAAAGAGATCAATTCAAGGAATACAAATGGATTGAATATTAGTTAAGATTAGGCACTGTGTTAAGTGCTCCAGAGGATGTGACATTGAGTAATATTCACAGACATGGACACACACACACTGTTAGAATTAATAAACAAGTTCAGCAGTGGTTGTATAATATAAGATCTATATACAAAAATCAATTGTATTTCTATATACAAGCAATGAACAATCAGAATATGAAGTTAAGAAAACAATTCTACTTATAATAGCATTAAAAAGAATAAAATACTTCAGAATAAATTTAAGAAAGAATTGTAAGACTTACACACTAAAAATCACAAAACATTGCTGAAATAAAGAAGACCTGATAAACAGAAAGACATCCCATGTTCATAGATCAGAAGACTTAATATTGTTAGTATGGCAATACTACACAAACTGATCTGCATCTCCAATGCAATCCCTACCAAAAGTTCAACTGGCTTTTTGCAGAAATTAACAAATTAAATTAAGCTGATCCTAAAATTCATACATAAATCAAGGAATCAAGAATAACCAAAACGATATTAAAAAAGAAGAACAAAGTTGGAGGATTCACTCTTCCCAATTTAAAAACTCATGACAAAGCTACAGTATTCAAGACAGTGTGGTATAAGGGTAGACCTATAGATCAATAATCTCATAACTTATGGCCAATTGATTTTTGACAAGGGTGCCAAGACAATTCAATATGGAAAGAACAGTCTTTTCAACAAATGATGCTGGGGCAACTGGATATCCACAGGCAAAAGAATGATGCTGGACTCCTACTTCACACCATATACAAAAATTAATTCAAAATGGATCACAGACTGAAGGAAGATCTAAAACCATAAAACTCTTATGAGTAAATCTCCATGATCTTGGATAAGGCAATGGTTTCTTTTTTTTTTTAAATTTAACTCTTTTCTAAAATTTAAATTCAATTAATTAGCATATAATGTATTATTTGTTTCAGGGGTACAGGCCTGTGATTCATCAGTCTTATATAATACCCAGTGCTCATTACCACACATACCCTCCCCAATGTCCATCACCCAGTTACGCCATCCCTCCCACCCTCCACCCCTCCAGCAACCCTCAGTTTGTTTCCTATGATTAAGAGTCTCTTATGGTTTATCTCCCTCTCTCGTTTTGTCTTGTTTCATTTTTTTCCTCTCTTCCCTTATAATCTTCTGCCTTGTTTCTTAAATTCTACATGTCAGTGAGATCATATGATAATTGTCTTTCTCTGATTGACTTATTTCACTTAGCATAATACCCTCAAGGCAATGGTTTCTTATGACACCAAAAACATAAGCAACAAAAGAAAAAAATAGATAAATTAGACACCATCAAAATTAAAAAATTTTTGTGCTTCAAAGGACACCATAAAGAAAGTAAAAAGAACCCATGGAATCATATATCTAATAAGGGACTTGTATCAAAATATATAAAGAACTCTCACAACTCACAATAAAAATACAATTTAATTTAAACATTTCTCCAAAGAAAATATACAAATAGCTAATAAGCATATGTGAAGATGCATCATTAATCATGAAGGAAATGCAAATCAAAACCACCATGAGCTACAACTTCACACCCACTAGGAGAGATATCATTAAAAAGAGAGATGTAGAGGTGAGGAGGTAGTGAAATTAAAAACCTGACACATTGCTGAAGATTGTAAAATATTTGGAAGTTCTTCAAAATGCTAAACATGGAATTACCATATGACCCAGCAATTCCACTCCTAGGTAAGTAGGTAAGCAGGTAGGTTTGTGTATATATATCCCCAAGAGAATTGCAGACATATGTCCACACAAAACTTTTACATAAATGTTCATAGCAGCAATATTCAAAATAGCCAAAAAGTAGAAAGAAGCTGAATGTCCATCAACTGATGAATGGATAAACAAAATGTATCCCTACAGTGGAATATCATTCAGCTATTAAAAGGAATGAAGTACTGATATGAATAAAGAATGAAGTCCTATAACATGGATGAACCTTAAAAACATTATGCTAAGTTAAAGAAGCTGGACACAAAAGGCCACATATTGTATGATTCTATTTATATGAAATGTCCAGAATAGGCAAATCCATGCAGGCAGAAAGTAGATTAGTGGTTGCCAGGGGCTGGGGGAAGGGCAACGAGGAATGACTGCTAATGGGTACAGGGCTTCTTTTTAGGGTGATGAAAATGTCCTAAAATTGATTGTGGTTGGGTGCCTGGGTGGCTCAGTTAGTTAAGCATATGACTTTGGCTCAGGTCATGATCTCAGGGTCCTGGGATCGAGCCCCGTGTCAGTCTCC